TCTTAAGGTTGTGGTTTGGCATTGGATTTTTTTCTTGGCATGGTAGGTTTGTTAAGATGGTACATTGATTAAATTAATTAATGGAACAATTTTGGGTAATCAATATAGCCAATATCACACCAATCAATCAATTACAGTAATCTCTCTAGTCAAATAATTTTCCTAAGCAACAATCAGCCTAATCAATTAATTACACTAATCGCTAATCAATTAATTACACTAATCATTAATCACACTGTTCAATTAAATTCACTAAATCACTGATTTTACTAATCAATTAAATTACATGAATCTTGATCTTTTAAACTAATCAGTAATCACACTATTTGCACTAAACACTCTAATGATACTAATCAATTAAAACAATAAATCAATTAAACTATTAATGAAATATTTTATAGAAATTGATTATCTAATCATTGATATAGGTGATGAGGTAGAAAAGTTGTAAGTTTTGAGGTAATGAATTAATCAGTGTTTGATTAAAGTAATGAGGTAGTATTGAGAGTCTGCAAGGAAAGGGTTAATTGTTTTACTAGCAGCTGTGATTTACTGGGTGGGAGGAATTTATTGCTCTTATTGCTGCTGCTATTACTCTGTAAACAATAGGCCGTAACAAGATGTTCAAAGCACGCTGGATTTTTGAAAGAGAGCAAAACTCGCTGAATTAAAACACTTTAACTACAATCAATATGTCTCTGAATAAGATTGTTTTCCAATAGTTTCCCAAAGTTCTTCAAGTGGAGTAGTAGTAAAAATACAGTCCAGAAATTTGGGTTGACCAATCCAATCTGTCCTTTACTTTTAAAGTTACTTCTAGTTGCAATATCTTTTTTTTTAAATTAAATCTGACAGTCACTCCAGATCGTTAATCGCAGCTATTTTCCTCCTTTGAGTCCTACTTTCCAAGGAAAATTCCACTGCAGAAATTGGAGTGATTCTTACCAAGACTAAGCACGCTAGAGATCTTTCCTTTCTTTTTTACTTCTGTCTCAGCTGCCTTCCTGGCTTCAATTTAGCCATGCTGGCAGTTCTCTTTTTAGTTCAGATGGAGGGGTTTTCTTCGGGTCAGTCAAGGAGACCCTCCTCTCCTCGCGACCACCGAAGCATTCCTCTGCCTTTACCACCCGTCCAGGGTGACTTTTGGCTCCTAAGAGCCTCAGAGCTTTCTCCTCCTTCCTTGTTTCTCCCTGCCAGCTGTCCGATGTTGCTCCGGGGAAACTGTGTGGGGGATATTAATGGAAACACATTCACTGGCGTGGAAGATACTTCTATCAGCTGTGTGAGGGATTTAAATGAAGGTACGTTGTTTGCACTCCGCTGGCTCCAAGTGATCCAGTTCAAGAGCTCCACCAGTGTGGTTAATAGGGTTCGATGGAAAGAGCTTCACTTCTCTGGGGAAGGAGAGGAGGGCTCCGGATCAGCTAGCAGGAGCTCCGCCAGCATTATTAGGGCTCCATGGCTTCTGAATCCAGCGTTTTTGGACTTGTTTATTGGGCTCTGGTTTACTCATGGTCACTGGTGCAGGCGGCAGCTTTAAAAGTGATTTCTGGTGCAGGTGGTGGCTTTATAGGGAGATAGTGCTCCAGGAGTGAGAGCCTCGCCTTCCTAGTTGGGCGCCACCATGTTTCTTATTCTTATTATTTATTATTATTACGCCATAGGATGTAAATGGATATATAAACTAAAGACAGGTGTAGATGGGACTGTTACCCATAAAGCCAGGTTAGTAGCACAAGGGTTCAATCAGACAGCAAATGACTACGATGTGGTATTTGCACCTAGTCTGAAGGCTACATTAAGGGCAGCATTAGTGTGGGCAGCTAAGGAGAAATACATTGTAAATCATTTGGATGTAGAGACGGCATATCTGCATGCACCACTGTAACACACTATTTATTTAAAGAAACCTTTAGGTGTTAAAAATGATAATACAACTGGTTGCTGGAGATTAAAAATGAGTCTTTATGGCTTGAACCAATCAGGATATGAGTGGAACCAATGTATAGTTAAAGAATTAACTAAGATAGGTTTTGTAGCTGGCATGGCTGATCCATGTTTGTTTAAAAGAGAAAGTAATGGTGTAATCTCATTGTTGCTATTGTTTACTGATGACATAGCATTAATCACCAAAACTGAACAAGAAGCTACTAAAATAATCTCACTGTTGGAGAAGAAATTTAAGATAAAATAGTTAGGACAAATCAAACAATATCTTGGTTTAAAGATAGAAAGAACTAGGGGAGGATACAAGATCTCAAAGGCAGATAAAATTAACCAATTACTAAAAAGTTTTAAAATAGAACTTTGTAAACCGGCTAAGACACCAATGAGCCAGGAGTTTAGCCATAGTGATGTTCAAAGTCCTATTTTTGATAAGAACATTTATCAGTCCTTGATTGGTAGTTTATCTTATCTCAGTAATTGGTCAAGGCCAGATATAGCATACAGCGTTGGCCAATTAGTGAGATTTAACACTGAGCCAACTGAAAGGCACTGGCAAGCTGCTAAACGTGTGTTAAGATATCTGAAACAAACAATGCATTATGCATTGTATTTGGAACCTAAAAATGAACTGAATTTAACTGCATATGCTGATGCAAGTTTTGCTACAGACATAATACATGAAAATCAATATCGGGTACTGTTGTATTATTGGGAAAAGTGTTGATTGGTTGGAGGTCTATTAGACAGAAACATCTAAGTTTGTCAACAATGGAGGTGGAATTCTCATGTTTATCTTTATTATGTACAGATTTAGTTTATTATAAGCAATTATTGATTGACATGGGAATTGATGTAACAGATTCTATTGTTATTTACGAAGACAACCTATCAGCAATACAGATGGCTTCAAATATTGCTGTTAAAACAAGAACAAAACACACAGATTTAAGATATTTAAATGTGAGACAATGTATGCAAAATAAGATGATTAAGCTGGAATACCGTATGCCAGAAAACAATATAGCAGATCATTTTACAAAGGCCCAAGACTCTATAAAGCATAAGGCGTGCTTGCGAGGATTATGGACTTAGAATGTAAAGTTGTATATATTGTCCTACCCAAAAGGGGAGAATGTTAAGAATGTAAGTCACCTAACAGTTATTTGGGTTAGAAATATATAAACTAGGATAGACATTTTAATACTGTATCTTTAAGAGAATCCTAAAACTGTAATTAGGTGTGGTTTCTCATACAGCCATAAGATGGAGCCAGAAACCTGGGTTATTTAGTCTCAGAAGTGAGTGAGTCTCTGTTTCCTTCTGTTGGAGAGTTTTGCTGTTCCTCCTAATGACTGTTACTGATCGTTGATGTAAGTCTGTTACCGAACTGTTTTTTGATACTGGACTTTGATATTTGGATTATCCCTGAACTGAACACTGACTGCCTTACCTGTGAATGACTTGGACTGCTTATCTTGGACTGTGCTTAAACGTTTATTGGAAGTAAAAACTTACATTTACTGTACAGTGTATCTGTGTGCTGTGTGTATATTATTCTTCACTACTCTCACTACGTCTCCCTCTATGCGCTCATTCTCCTAACGGGGAATTACCTCAACAGGTGGTCTCAACTTCCAGCCACAATTAAGACCAGCATTTTGTTGTTAAGCAAAGCAGTTGTTAAATGACTAGTGCCTCATTTTAACAACCCTTTTTTATCATGGTTAAGTGTATCATTGAAGTTATTAAATGAATCGTGAGGTCATTAAATGAATCTAGCATTCCACTGATTTTGCTTGTTAGAACCATCATAATTATATACTGTATTATTCCCTATGGCCCAAATTTGAGTGCAGGGATGCTGCAAAAATTATAAATGTGAGGACTGAAGAGTATTTTTTTCAGTGCTAAGTTGAGTATACATGTGCTATATAACATCATAGAAAAAAGAAAGCATCTACAGAAATATTTCAACCAAATCACTTTTAAAGATAATAAAGGGAAGGCTACAGGTGTATAATATTTAATAAAAAGACATTAGAGTATAAATAGTTCTATATTTAATTTGAAAGAAGGGTGAAGAATTTGATTTTTAGGGAGGGAAACTTTTCATTTTTCAAATACATCAGATAATTTTATTCTAAAAAAAGGACTGAATTGGGACTCTGATGTAAAGATTTTATTGCTAAAGAAAGTTGTTTTTTTTCCAAGAGGGGAAGGAGAAATAATTCAATACATAATTTGAAGGGAAGGGGAAGCCAGTGAAAGGATGATGCTATTTTTTGTTTGTTCAATTTTAAAAGTATCTTCCTTCTGTTGATGGGACCAAGTAACATATCTCACATTATCAATTTGTCAAACACTCTTTTCATCTGGCAGTTACCTGCATCATATTTCCTATCTCTAACCAAGTGGCCTAATGCCAAAATATTATTCCTAAAGGTACTCTGTTCCTTACTTTTTCAGTATTGCTTTTAGAAGTAAAATGCACTTAGAACATTTGTCCCTCATAGGCACTCCCAGATATTCCAAAGAGCAATGTTATAATTCCTAGACAGCCTTCTGAATTGGTATTAAGAAAGCCCAGTGGAGAAGTTTCACTTCAGAGTCATATGGATTATTTCTATATGACTGCGGTCTGGTACAAACATGATAACTAAATAAATGTACTAAATTTACATTTGACACTAAGATCATCATGACACCCAAAACTCATGACAAACTATTTCTAAGATGAATCAAAGTCTTGTGGGGAAGTGGAGGGGGGGGGAGATTGTTTTCAGGAAATATTATGAACAGAAACCAGTCATTTTCGAAAAGCTGTCTTTCTAACACAATGTTCTGGGGGGTGGGGGGTAATCATGATGAAGTGCTCCATGCTTTACTAGATCAACCTGCAAATGTAGCACAAATAACAACAACATGCCAGGCAAAAAAACAAAGGCTAATATTACTTGGTGTCTGAAAATATTGCACTGTTTCAGGGCAGATGATAAAAGCCAGCTTTTCACCATACTGTAGGCTGTACACCAATTATGAAAAACACAATTTACCTCAATGAAGAAGAGGCTGGCTGAAGAGGTGGGATGGTGATACATATAAACAATCACAAGGATTGCTGCAGCTACTATTAGAACCAAAACGAAAATCCCAACAATTAAGCCAGTGTGAAGAGAGGCACTTTTCTTCTCTTCTGCGCTGTCATCTGTGGAGGCTGTTAAGAAAAATAAGGATTAAGCTTGGCACAAATTCATTTCAGCTTTTATTTTCCTCATATATAATAATCTGTTGCCTTGACAAAATGAGGCATGCCTTTTTCTGCACTAAATACTCATTATAATATCTCTGCAAAGACAATTTCCAGATGTCTTATTATTTCTAGATTAATAAACAATATTAAAGTCCACTTTTATTCATGCCACTTACTACTCTCGAAATTAAATCATGCAGTATCTCCATCTTTGGTTTCCTAATAACATATTAAAAATTACCTGCAGACAGCATTACTATTTTAAAAGCTAAATGTCATCATCAAATCTAATGGCTTCTGAGAAGAATCAATAAAATCTGAGATGTACAAATTACCATTTCTAAACTTCTGTTTTATTGTGGAGCATATGGGTATTAAACAATCTATCAATATTCTGAGTCTGAAGAGAATCCAACGCATATAAAATATTGCTAAAAGCCACAATTTTACTACATTTTATAGTATTATGTGCCATGTTGTGTATTAATAAAAAGAAATACAAACATCTGAGGAAGTTTTGTCCTGCAGCAAACCTATCTTTCTCAAAAAAATTCCAACTATGGTTCTGATCAATTTGGTTACTATTTAGTTACTTGATAGCAATTAGTTAGTTAGAAGTTTAATTATTTTAGTAGCTACTGGCAAATAGCAGATGGCCAAGATTAATTTGGATTTTGGATAATCCCCAAAATTTTATTTGTTACATTTTTATAATGCCATAATGAAACACTACAGGATAAATAAATGAGGATTACCTCTGTGCTCCTAGGACCCTTGATATCCCCAAGCCTCTCTGAGTAGCCCACAAAAACAAAATTATTTGCCATCTTGGGTTGAAAAATAATATATTAAAATACCACAATTGTAAGAAGCAAAAGTATTAGTTTTAAATTTTAATACAGTAAATAACAATAAATATAACCTACACAAGCAAAAGCTTTTTAAGGGTTTTTCACAATAAAAAGTGTGAACAGGTCCTGAGAGAAAAAACTTTAAGAAAGTCTGCACTAACATATACAACTCAAACCCCCTTTACACTGTAGAACAGAGCTGCCAAACTGTGTCAAGATGTGTCACACGCTGGCCACGCCCATGCCTGGTTTAACAAATGGGAAAAAAGTTCCGATATGCCACGTGATACTGCCATGATGACATGAGTTTGACACCCCTGCTGTAGAAGCACATACAATCAAATCAAATGTACTGTATTCATTATAATAAATATTATTTATTTTATGCAAAGATTATAGAAATAGCTAAACTAGCACAGACAGCAAATCCTGATAATTTGCTATAGACTCAGAGCGATTATTTTATGTTTTACTGCTAAGTGGCTATACATTTTATTAAAAACAAACCCAAAATATCTGTTTATTTTTCTCTAATATATACACTAGTAGAAAACTCACATAAAAGACCACTTTGGATAAATTTCAAGAAATGGAATAACAAGGATTTAACCTTCCAAAGGCCATTGATACATGTTAATACAAAAACAGTTTATTAATTCAACTATTAATTAAATTGCCTCAAAATAAGGATTAATAATCTGCAAGGCTGTTTTCTCAGAATGAATGACTTCAGCATTTTTTTTTCAAGAAGAATATTTTAAAAAGCCCTTTTAAGTAGAAGAAGTAAAGCAGTATCCACACCAAGTCATAATTTATTGATATGAAAAGTGCTGTTTTCCTTAGGACCACAAAATAAAAATAATGGAAATGACTATATGGTAGGGGTGGAAAATCTGCAATCACATCTTTATTTTGTGCTTGCAGAAAAGTAGCAGCTTAATTTCCCACCAGTTTGTGATCGAAATACAGAAAAAAAATGTAGCTATGCTTTAAAAAAAGGCATATTAGCGAACAAATTTTCCAAAACTTCACTCCCCCAATAAATTGGAGATATGTTTTCACTCACTTTCTTAGTTCTGTTAGTGCTTAGTACAGCCATTAGTCAGCAAAATGATTCTTATTTTTAACAAAACCTCCAAAATTCTTTAGTAAAAACAAAGAAACATAAATAGTCCTTGTTTACTAACTGCTTTATTTAGTGACTATTTCAATTTACTTTAAATTTTAGTTCCTTATTTTTCTATTTTTGTTGT